GGTGCATATGCATTATGCATATTGATTCTATAGTCATTGAGATCTAGTTCTAGGAAGAGGGAACTAAGACTTCAGGAGAACCCAGGGGAGGGCAGTGAGTATCTCTGGGAGCAGTCAACTCTTAAGGGCTCCTTGTCGCTGACCTCTGCCCCCCCAGTATTCTCTCAGTCACTCTGCAGCGTTGGCCAGGTGTTCACATGCCTCTCCATATGGCAAGATGGCTTCCTTCATCTTCTACCTCCTTTGCTCTGCCTAGAGAGTACCTCTGGGATATGCTTGGTGAGGACAGTATGTCAATGTTGGGGAGTGGCCTCTGGGCCACCTCTCTCCACAGTGAAGGTTAGGACCTAGTGAATCGATACCCTGTGTTCTTCTGTCTGCAGTGGGATACTTCTGTGGCATGCTCCATCCTGTCACAAAGTATCCCCCCCATAGGATTGAACCCCAATTTCCCAACATGGGGGCCTACTCACTAATTCCATTAGCCTCTCCTCCTTGCCTGTCTCACCTCTCACTCCTGCCTTGCACTTCTGAGGGACTCTTAACCAAGTCAAATGAAGAGCCATATTAGGGTCAGGAGTTCTCTTCAGATGCCTAGACAGGAAAATCAAGGTGACAGGACTGACAGCAACGACCAAGTTATGGAAAGGACCAAACCATCTAGGGTAAAGGCCTGCACTCTCTGGTGTTCATTGGACGTTGCAGTCTGCCGAGGTGTCTATGTTAGGGGAGACAAAGGAAGGGACCTTGTTTGGTATGCAGTAGAACTGAGCCAGAGAAATGCAGGGGGTGCATAGTCTGGTTAGAGCCACAAAAGTCAAGGTGGGAAGATGTTGGGGGCAAAAGGAGGCTCACTGCATCCTGACCACGTAGGGGTAAATCTTAGAGACCATGAGTTTACCTTTTTTTAAAAAACTTATTTATTTATTTATTTATTAAAAATTTCCACCTCCTCCCTGCCCCCCTTTTCCCTTCCCCTCCCTCTCTAGTCCTAAGAGCAGTCAGGGTTCCCTGCCCCGTGGGAAGTCCAAGGTCCTCCCCACTCCATCCAGGTCTATAAAGGTGAGCATCCAAACAAACCAGGCTCCCACAAAGTCAGTCCATGCAGTAGAATCAAAACCCAGTGCCATTGTCCTTGGCTTCTCAGTCAGCCTTCATTGCCAGCCACATTCAGAGTGTCCAGTTTGATCACATGCTCCATCACTCCCAGTCCAGCAGGCCTTGGTGAGCTCCCATTAGATCAGTCCCACCGTCTCAGTGGGTGGACACACCCCTCGTGGTCCTGACTTCCTTGCTCATGTTCTCCCTCCTTCTGCTCCTCATTTGGACCTTGGGAGCTAAGTCCAGTGCCATGAGTTTACCTTAAGGAGGAAGACATGCTTTCGAATCTAATCTCCACTCATACTAAGCCACTATTTCCCCTGTTCTCAAACAAGTTTCTTTAGCATGCTACAGTGTTGTTGAAATTTATGCAGAATGATGTTGGGTGCAATTGAATCTGTGAGTTAGCAGAAATGCCCACAATGATTAACTATGTAGAGCTGAAGGATTTCAAAATGGGCCTTTGACTGTGAACTCACGTGGGTCCAGTCACTTCTTTTCCTTTGGTACTGTGTTACACACCCTGATGCGGGAGAATTGTCTGTATTCTGTCAATCATATCAAACCACCGAGAACACGGTGCTAATGCGCCCTTCTTCAGAGATGGCTCACCACGACATTACAATTTTAACTTACTTGTTACAGTTTTCACAGTGAGTCAAAATGAAAGAGCAACTGATCAGTTGGGCTGTTGCTCACCTTTCTCAGATAATTATTTGCCTGCAGCACAGTCAGCCGAACTTTCCTGCTAGGTTCAGTCATGTCTAATCCTTTGATCTCTTTTTTTCCACTGATGTTTCCCTTCTCGTGACATTTGCTAATGAAAATTAGGCTGGTCCCTGTTGTCTCTCTGAAGAAAGGAACAGAGGAGAGTACTTAATGATGTAATCATAATGAACTCAAGAATCATTCATTGTGGAGTATTTTGAAGGACTTGTTCAGCTTTATAGAGGTAGTAGCATGTAGGATCTAGGTCTAGGTTTAGGGTCACAAGGTTGCAGCAATACTTGATGGATTATTTGACTAAAATGCTGTTCTGGAAACACTACAAAGCAAAGATTACAATCAAGAAGAAAAAGTGGTTACAAACATCAGGTTTCAAAGGCAATGTAGAGTCAGGAGGTCAAAGGTGAAGTTAGTAAGATCAGGTACCAGAGCAGAAAGCAAGATGGTTGGCTGGGGGGGCTGTGGACTAAGGCTATAAACAAGGCAAAGCTGCCAGGCCCCTACCTGAGCTCCATAGTGTCTTAAGGATGAAGGCTGAGAGTAGAAAAAGATGATAGACTGGTGGCCTGATAATGCCAAGGCCAAGGTCAATGCATGGCTGAATTGGGGCTTGGTGAGAGACCAGGTTCTGTTTCATTAGTGGGGACTTTCCCTGTGTCCTCATATGGTGGAAGAGGCAAGCTAACTCTCTGGGGTGTCCTAACCCCATTCCTAAGGGGCTAGCCTTCAGCATCTAAACATCTTCTAGAGGCCTCACTTCTTGATATGACCACCTTGGAGTCCAGAAGTTTAACATATGAATGGGTGACAGAGAGACAAAAGCATCCAGAGCACTAAAGCTAGCTCGGTGGTGGCGGTGATAATAATTTCGTCAATTAAATGCCAAGCATTTCTCCCCTCTTCTGGAGGTAAAACTGGACTTCCTGGATCACTTACAGTTGGTGGAATCATGTCAAGAGTTCTGTCCAATGAGGGTTAAGCTTATCTGTCCCTTCCAGAAGAGAACATGAGGCTGCCACCCTAAGACTCACCAGACTTCTTTTCCACTTGACCAGGTTATTAGCATTTTCAAGGTGGTAACTGGGACATTGCCGTGGGTTCAGTAAGGTGTGGAAGGCATCTGACTCCATGCACTGGTTATGCCAAGTGGGCAAGAAACAAACCTTACTGTTTTAGCCATGAGATTTTGCAGTTGAGTTTGTTTGTAGACCAGGATGACCTCAAACTCTTTACGTAGCTACGGGTAACTTTGAGCAGCTTCTCTTCCTGCCTCCCTCTCAGAAGTTCTGGGATCATAGGCAAAAATTCTCAACTTGGATTGCACAATGCTAGGGATCAAACCCAGGACTTCATACTAGGCCAGCACTCTACCAACTGAGATACACCCCCAGCCTGAGACTTTAGTAATTAACCACAGAGAATCTTGCTTAATCTGTCTAACATAAAAAAAAAAGTAATTCTGTTGAATTGAAGGAGATGGACATGCTAAATATTGGTCACATTTATACAAATATTTTAGGTAGTGAAAAGAACATTCAGTTAGGATGGTTGGGTGCATGACTGGATGGATGGTAGACACAAAGATGTAGACAATAATTTAGGGAGTCAAAATTGCACCATGGAACCAGAGTTGGGGAACCAGGGTCTACTGCAACCTCCTTCCAACCATTAGTCCACTTAGCCTCTTTAATGCAGCAACAATAGCTCCATCTGCCCAACAGAACTGAACCTCTCTCCAACTCACCTCAAAGGACTGTGTTGATCACTGTGGCTCATTTAGACTCATTAATGGCCACCTCTGAACCCTGCCTCCCAGAGCTCATGCCTTTGGCAATCTCCCCAAGAGCAGGAGTGAGACATGACTCCCTTCTAAGTAGTAGACTTTGAAGAAAGTTACAGGAGATTGCCTCCATGCTTGCAGTACATATACAATCAGCCCTCCATGGGGCTTACTTCTATAAATTCAACCGACAGATGGAAACTCTTCCCAGAATTGTTGTCCATACTGAACATGTAGAGATTCCTCTCTGGGTAATATTTTCTAAACAATACATCAACTATTTACATGGCACTTATATCAGATTAGATGTGGGAAGTAATCTAGAGATGGTTTAAAATATATGAGAGACTGCGTTCTTGTTGTGTACAAATACCACATCATATAAGAAATGAGCATCTGAGGAGTGAGATCTCCGGTGGGGTCCTGAAAGAAAGCCGCCATGGACAGAAGTCTGACTATATGACTGCATCTTGCTAGCAAACTTGGTAGACTGTCTCTGCTGACTTGATGAAGTCAATGACCATGATGGGGGAAACCGTTGGTTGGGACTTTCAGGGTCAGTGGTTCTCAACCTGTGGGTTGCAAACCCTTTGGGGATCCAGCAACCATTTCACAGAGACCAAATATCAGATATCCTGCATACCGGATATTTACATTATGGTTAAAATAGTAGCAATATTACAGTTACAAAGTAGAAACGAAACTAATTTTATGGTTGGAGATCACCCCAACATGAGACATTGGATTAAAGGGTCGCAGCATTAGGAACACTGAGAACCACCGCTCTTAATGTGGTCTCAAGAAACTTAGGGAGCAATCAGGGCCCCGAGCACAAGAAACTGAATCCTGCCAATGAATGAAGTTCATGCAGTAACGGGATGAACTTCAAGGTAGTTTCTTCCCCAGTCATTCCACTGGATGGGAGTACCGCCCAGTTGACCCCCTGGATCACAGCTTGTGAAACACTTAGGAGAGGAGCCCCGTCAGCTGCCCACTTCTGATCCCTAGAAACTGTGAGAAAAGAAATGTGTTGCTTCGACTGTTATGTTTATAGCAGTTTGCTGCGGTGATAGGGAAGAAAGCAATAGAAATGCTAAGTGACAGCAAAAGATTCATGGAGCCTTTGCATAATGTAAAATGAAGTAAAAGTCACTCTTAAGCTTTGGGGATCCACAGTCATCTTTTTACCAATTCTTTACACTAGCTCTCCCGATCTTGCTGAAAATTTCAACATACACTTATTTTATCCTAATTCTAAAGTTCAGATTCATTGATTTTGGCCCATATATATATATATATATATAAAAAAAAAAAATATATATTCTGTATTGCTATCAATAAAGATAAAACCTAGAGTTTCAGTGTTCCTCGGGGTACTATGAAAAGCCCGGGATCCCTCAACTATGGATCCAGTTTAACAGGTCTGCTTCAGCCCACATTTCAGCCCAACTGCCACTTTCATCATTTTTATATCACCTCTACGTCTCCATGGCTACCGAGACCATCGAGGAGTGCTTGTGTTTTATGTCTGAATTTTTCATCTGGATACTTTTAAACGGATGGTGGAGGCACACTGTCCTTGTCAATATGCCAGATTTCATCTCAATTATGGGAGTAAAATGATCTGTCTTCAGTTTCTGTTACCAGCAATAAGTTGCCTTCTGTGTCAACTCTGCCCCATGGACCCATGGCCACTGTGGAATGAGCTAGGTGACTGTGGGGAAGACCTTCTCCCCTAATGAGTCGAGTGTTGGCATTGTGATGATGAGCAGGACCAATGAGGACCAAGAAGGCATCTTCTAAGTGACAAACTCCCCGTGGGCATCTTAACTAATCTTCACAATCTCCAGCCACTTTCATCCCTTTTGCAAACCATCTGGAAACAAGACTTAGGTTTCCTCACCAGAGGTCATGCATTTATAAGTCCCTCGGCCAAGAGTTTGCATCCATTAACTCGGCCTTAAAAACATGCTGTATTCTCCACTTCTCCAACTCTCCAGGACAAAAATATTGAAATCATAGCACTAATTTAAGAAATATTCTCCAATCTTCTCCCATTCATTAATTAGCCTTCAGAACGTCTTCAGAATGGCATTTATGTGATCATCGGCCCAGAAATAAAATGGTGTCCATTTCTGTACAGAAAAGAAGGAAGGGTCTTATATTACAATAATGTTTGGCAGTAATTGAGAAAAAAATTACCTTAGCTTAAACAATGATGTGAGCTTATTTCTTTTTCATGTGGGTGTCACAGAGATTGAAACACAGTAAACCTAAGACTTGGTGCTCAAAGAATTTGCAATCAAGAAAAGCAAGCAGTGGCGGATCATGTGGAAAGGAACAAAGCTTTGCTGCTAGTGAAGAAGATAGTTATAATTGGTAGAAATCTAAGAACACTCTTGAAGAACTGGCACTGCCTTAAGCTTTGAAAGTAAAGAAAACTTCAGCAGATGGCAAAGGATTTAAGGAATTTGTGAGGTACAAAGAGAATAAAAGAACTTTCCCCTAAGTAAACACAAAAGAAAGCAAAGGGCCATGAGTGTTAGGCCAGTCTCCCCTATGAGGTGGGGGTGGGGTATGGACCTGGGAAGGCCTTCTCTTTGTTTGCCCAGTATCCATTCTGCCTTCCTTCCATGGTAGTGGGATTTCTAGCTAAGTTCACATCCACTCAAATCAAAACCTGTGTTTCCCAGCCTGCCTAAGAGCTAGGTGGGCTGCCAGGCCCAATTCTGAGTGATGCAGTATAAACAGATGGACCGCACGAAACTGCTCCTGTGAACTGTTAAGAAACCAGCTAACACTCCGAGCCTGGCCATTCCGTGTCTTTCTTTCCTCCATGCTGAAATGTGTGTGCATTGGTTATGTCTTAAGCAGACAGATTGGAACACGAGATGCCATTAGACATGATGGTTCCAAAATCTTGTCATTTCCATAGGACCATCCGATGGATCTTCCAATTGACTTTTCAGTTGGCAACGGCAGTGTGGGGAGACAATGCTATACCTATTTTTGGAGTCAGTGGTGAGAATGTGAACATGTGACCCAATAAAGTCACAACTCTTCAACAATGCTAACATTAGAAAGAGACGACACAAACCTCCAAGCGAACATTGACTCTAGATTAACTCACATTCTTGTCTATGTTTGTTAAATACGTAACGGAAGCAGATACTTGATCACAGTAGAATCCTGTTCCATTCCTTTCCCCTAACCTTAAGCTTCAAAAACCCATCAGTTTTCCTCTATAAAAGCCCCTCCCATTAATATTTTGGAGAATGGGAATGGATGTTTGGCCTGGATGTATGTCTGTGCACCACTTGTGTGTCTGGGGCCTGCAGAGGCCAGAAGAGGGCATCAAGTCTTCTAGAACTGTAGTTACAAATGGTTGTGAGCAACCACACAGACCCTCTGCAAGACCAGCCAGTGCCCTTAGCTGCTGAGCCCCCTCTTCAGTTCCACTCCCATAAACCTTTGCCCTCACACCATTTTTCCTTTAACTCCCTTGGAGGTCCCAGACACACACCAATATGTGATGTGGGATTCCCCTTTGTATGTTGTGAATACCATTGGCTAATGAATAAAGCTGCTTTGACCTATAGCAGGGCAGAATGGAGTAAGGCGGGAACTCCAAGCAGATAGAGGAGGAAAGAAGGCAGAGTCAGGGAGATGCCATGCAACCACCAGAGGGGAAAGACACCCGCCCGTGCACTGGTACCAGTAAACCACGAACCTCGTGGTAAAATATAAAATAATAAAAATGGGTTAATTTAAGATGTAAGTGCTATCTAGAAATATGCTTAAGCTACTGGCCAAACAATATTGCAATTAATACAGTTTTGTGTGATTATTTCAAGACTGGGTGGCCAGGAAATGAGCAAGCAGCCTCCGCCAACATTTTGGCAGGGTTACCCACTACTATTGAGCTCTGGACCGGAGGTTTTCTCTTCTATAAAGCATTCAAACATGCAATAGATCCAGTTTATTCCACAATACACCTCCTTATCTCTGTGAAGTATAACTAGATAAAGCTGGCTCTGGCTTTCTATTCTAGTCAGGTCCACCATGGATTGTGTGATGTCAGTCCGCCTCGAAGAGAGTGATCTTTATTTAGTCAAATGACTCAAATGCTAATCTCTTCTTGAAACACTTTCATAAGCATACCTAGAAATAATATTGTGTTAGCTATCTGAGCATCCCTTAGCATAGCAAACATATAAAGTTAGCAGACATCAAAGGCAATAGCGGAATTATTCAAGAAACGATAAAAATGCACGCATGAGATAATATCGCTTGCCTGTCCCCATCATTCGCCCTTTTCCTTCCTAGCAATGTTTCTTTTGTTTGGTATCGGGGAGGCAATGCACTCAAGGAACTTCACTTTCTACTCTAGCCTTAGGAGATGAAACAAAATAACCAGAGCAAGCCAAGTGCAGTCCGCTTGCTCTCCCAGCCATGGCGGGGAGAGGAGCATAAGGGACCTTTGAGTTCAAAAAAGTGAAAGAGGAATTCAGTAGGGACCTGTGAGGGTGGGTTTCCTCCAGGATGGCAGTAATAATAATAAAGGTAGTACCCTCCTTTCTGTTCAAATTCAAGCATAAAAAGACATGAGGCTTAGGGCTCTGTTGCTGTTGTGTGACCATGAAATAAAAGACGAAAGAATCAGAGGAGTTAACCCAGAAGCCAGAGATTGACTAACTATACTGTTAAATGAGCCCACCTGGAAACCCGTTCCCAGCCACATCAAACCTTTCATTTCTCAGAGTGAAAGCATCTCACTGACCATCTTATGTGGTGTTCTCAGAACTTCATACAAATAATGCCATTAAATGTTATAAGCAAAATCTACACTTCTATTTCGGTATATAGTTATATAGTTATAAAATCAGATACAACGAAATTGGCAGTGGCGGTTTACATGATTCAAATTCTCAGAGCTCTGAAAGCTAATTCTTTGTCTGTTCCTTTGTTTTGTTTTCAACAAGGTTTTCCTGTGTAGGCAAACTCAGATTTCAGTTCTTCCTGCCTCTTTGTCCCTTTCGGGCTCGGGTTACAGTCACAACGTGCCGTGCCGTGCCATGCCCAGTGGCTGAAGCCAAGTTTTCACAAGACTTAGCAAATCCAAGTCACTTTACAGTAAATGTTGAGAGGAAGTCAAAGCCATCTCATTTACATTTTATTCTTAGATTGTCAGAGCCCATTGACTCTCCAGGCAGAGGTGACCCCCGTATGCTGTGCCCACACTCCTGAGGTATGGCTCATGGATGGGTCATTTTATACCTACCACAAAGTTGCTTGAGACAGACCGAAGAGCCAAGGAGTGGATCTGAAAATCCACACGGGGTGCAAGGATGTAGACAAATCTCAACTTCTGACTTGGGAAACCCGAGGATGAGAAATCAGTGCTAATGAATCCAAACTGCTTTTTCACAGCTAAAGGAGGGTTTAAGTGTCGTGGGTCACAGTATATGTCCATAGGCTGTCTTCCTCATGGCCACATCACACTGGCACGTCGCATACCCAGCTGTGAGATGCACTTGCCCTGATGGGCCACAGATGCGTTTTAAAATGCCATTTGTATATTACTTCTCTCAGGCCTGCAAAGGACGTAATGAGATAATGTGGTGGAAACTCTCTGCAAGCTGTGAAGTGCTGTTTTATGGCAACTTAAGTGATTTTTTTTATGCTAAAATGAACAAAGGTTTTAGAACAACACAGTCGTCATCTCAGAAAGGCGAGCGCTAAGATAATGGGAGTCCCACTTAAAGGTGCATCTGTGCTAATGACTTCCGCCATTTGTGGAGGGTGAATTCTGCCAAAAAAAAAAAATCAACCATTTGAATGAACCCCACCTTCCTCTTCTCCTGTTTCAAGAAGAACTAAATAGCATGCACTTCCAATCATGGATGACTAAAACCAGGTACCCGCAGGTCACCTGTGATCCCGTGACCTGAGGGCTGATCCCAGGGCTCCGGTTTCAGTATACCAAACACAATATCTGTCCCCAGAGGACAGTTCACAGATCTCCACAGTTGAACTGAGCAAGATTCTGTCTTTACTCAAAATCTAATCCACAGAGCAGCTACACCGGACATTGCTGAGAGCTGACTGAACATGCATACCTTCCGACCTAGGAAATGGTCAGAATCTGTGCCCTCCTGATCCAAATGCTGGGTGTTCACTCTGCAGGGGAAGTGCTGCCGTCTAGCAAAATGTTGTATCTGGGCTGGAAATGGTAGTGCGGGCCTTTCATCCCAGCACTGGGGAGGCAGGCAGAGGCAGGCAGAGCTCTCCGTTCCAGGCCTGCCAGGACTACGTAGTGAGACCCTGACTCAAAAATCAAACAAACGAGAAAGAATGTCCTATCTGCTGCGGCTGTGTCCTGTGTTCTCTTCCCATGCCTGCCTTGCTGTACACCATTACCCAACAGCATGTACACATGGTTGCTTGCTGGGCTGGCCAAAGGCTAAAGTGTTGAGATGTGCTCACTGAGAGGTTAGCTTGGCATCTGAATATCATAGTTCTCTTAAAGTAGGAAAATTCTGAAGCACATTGCACACAATCTTCTAGAGGATTCCCAGCGACTTGGCTCCAGCTACTCAAAGTTAAAACTTACATGGGCCTTCTGATCTGCTGCCTCGTTTCCCATGTCCTCAACACTGCTTCCTGAATCACGTCCCAAATGAACAACGGCTCGCTGACCTTGCCTCAAGATCTGGTCTTGGAAGAATGTCAACGCTCACCGTTCTCTGTCACTTTTGATAGACAAGGCTCTGTCCTCAGCCCTGGATAGACTGCACTGCCCTAGCAGAACAAAGCAGTCAGGCAGCTTGATCAAGAGAAGGATGTTGACTCATTTCTAGACACTGAAGTTTTAAGATCAACATGCCAACACGATCTCTCCTGGCTTGAGGTGGCTGTCTTCCCAGTGTGTGCTCACATGACAGGCAAAGCGCTGAACGCCTCACTCCTCCTCTTAATCAAGAAGGCCTGCGAAACTTGGGCCAGAGAACCCTTCATTTTAAAAGATAAATAAGCCAAAATACCAAGTAGCTAAGTAAATTTCCTTCAGGACAACCAACATGGTTGTGTGGATCAGAGCAAAGAGGAGATTCAGCCACCTGGCTTTCAACACTGG